TTGACTGAGTCCATTTTTCCTGCATCTTAGAGATTAGGACTGTGAACATTTTCTAGTTGCCAATTTTTACAGACAAACTTGAAAGGTATTAAGGAAAAATTTCATATAGCTCTTGCCTTTTCTGTATTCTGATTGCCACATTATAATCTTTACCTATCAGAATGCATTTCAGTATCAGTGATTTTTTTTAATACTAAGATATTGCAAGAAAGGTGGTATTTTTTTAATACCCATGTGTGTCTAGTAGCAAGAGAAGGAACCTAGTGCATCAAATTTTACTCATTTTGAACTTTATTTTCACAATCAAAACAACCTATCTGGAATAATAATGCCATATTGTGTTTTGCACGCTGCTTTATTTCCTAGAGGCTGTGGGAGCTATTGCGTTCATCACTTGATTACCTCTGCTCCTCAAGATTGAAGTCTTTTCAGCAACATTGTCACAAGGAAAAACTTCCATCAGAATGATAAAACCAGTTCATACTAGTTTGTCCCTATAGATACTATTCAGAAATTGCTTCCTCTTTGGTAAAGAAGATAAGTGAAATAGGTGTATTTTATTGCCTGTGAATTTCAGGCTTCAGAGGTACCTGATCCAAGCAAAAATGAAACAGCTTTATATAAAAAAATATGTGCCTCTGGTAAATTATCCATCACTTTTATTTTCAAATGGTCACTCAGAGAATAGTCTGGCATACACATGTTTGGTTGTGGGGCAGATAACATGACTTCAAAGCTGCTCTTTATTGCACCCTGGACGATAAGACCCCAGTCTCTACGGTTTGGCTTTCTCTGGGAAGTCATTCTGCAAGTAGCCTTGCGTTTTAAACTGTTGCATAACTCAGCAGTTAGTCAACGGTAAAAAGCCCTGGTGACAGCAGATTTGGGGGATTATCTTTTAACATAATGTAAAGTTTAGAGTGCTGTGGTTACGAAGTCCTGTATTTTTAATGATACAGAATACCTATGGAAAACCAAGGGTCTGCTCCTTTCTTTTTCTCTTAAGATTCAGAGGGTACAGAATAACCTAAAACTTCTAATTCAAAGTACCCTTGGAAATTGAAGTTTATCTGAAGTGTTTTGTTGTCTTTAATTTTCTAGAATTGCCTGTATATCAGGTGATTTTTCTACAAAGCTGTGGAGGCTAATGGTTTATGGAACTGTCTTTCTCTTTTTCTTTCATGTGTCTTAACAGTATTTATTTCTGAGTTCTTAACAGTTTGCTAGGTGACTATTAAGATTCTTTTGTGTCCGACACTTGTGGTGAGTTGTTTTTGAGATATGTAAGATTTCTTTGAGAACTGATAATTAAGCTCTTGACCTGCTTCCTTAAATTGTTTTTTAAGAGCCCAAACCCAGGTTCAGGGTGAGGGTTTGTAATACAAAGAAAACCTTTCATCACTTCTGCCCTTAACACTTGCTTCTAAGCTTAGTATGCATTTTCTTTTTTTAACATTGTCCAATGTTTGGTGTTTTCCGCATTGTTTTGTGGTTATTCTGATGTGTGAAATTTAAGGAAAGAGCCATTTTTTAAAAACGCCACGCAGGGCAATGCAAGTACAGCCAAATATTAGAGTTGATGTGCAATCTTAGGTTATTTTAAATCTGGGGTATTATAGGCAGTACTTTAAACTGAAAAGTCTTCCTGGCCTATTTTCCTCCACATATTTGTGATTACTCTGGGGGCTTACTTGTTTTGGCAGTAAGGAGCTGGTTCTTTTCTCTCGATTCTTTTCATACTAAACACCTATAATTAGTCTGTTAGTACTATTTATCTACATCAAAAATCAGTGAACGCTTTACTGTTCGCACATTTAAGTACCTTGTTTTACATAAGATTAGATGAATATGAAAACCAGTGACCTTCCTTCCATTCTCTTCTTGAGCTTGTAAAATGCTAGTAGTTTAAAAGCTAGATCCCCCCCCCCCAATCAAGGAGGTAGAATATATTCATGTAAGGGTCACTTAAAGGTAGTTTTCAATATTTGGGTTGTATTACAAAGATTCCTCCTAAGGATTCGTTGCACTTTTCTTACTTTGTAGGCCTGGGTAATAGTATCACCATCCCATCCTTCCAAATGGGCAAATTGACTCTTAGAGCAGTTTTATAGGTTCAGGGGTTAGTTGTACAACATGAACTGCTTGGAGTCTATCGCTTTCTATGGGAATTTGGCAGGGCTTGGTAGCGAAAAGCTGTTGGTTGTGCTAATGTAAAAACATCATACTATTAGCTTGACTTTTGAAGATGGTAGACTTAAGGAATTGCATGTTGTTCTGAAATGCAGACCTGTAGGATGTTTTTATTTCTTTAAAAACAGGCTGATTTTTCCCCCCTGCCAGTCTCAGTTTCAGCTCCTATTTAAAGTTCTTGTGTCAGTTATTTTTCTGGTTTAAATTTCCCTTATATTTCTACCTGTAATGTCAGTGGCACCATCATACTTGTTAATTTACTTTACCCTTATTATAAGAGCAAATTGAGTTGAACTGAATCTTCCTTGTCCTAGTAAACATTGTATAAATTAAAGTGGCTTCTCTGTACAAAAGGTTGTAATGCCTCCTGATGGATATAATTTTGTGATTGTATTTAAAAGTTGAACAGATCACACCAGCTTCCTGAAAATGTTCATAATGCATCTTTTGGAAAACAAAATACATGCCTACTTTGTGCATATTTGCATTACCATGGCAAAGATTGTATGAAATACCTGTTTTTCAAAAAATAAAGTCTTAAAAGATGTAGCATTTAAGCTCTGAACTTCTTGGTCGAAGTAGTTTCCAAAAAACTTAATTTTGCAGTATGGGTAGTTTTAAAGCATTAATACCTCCAAGATTAAAAAAAAAAATTTTATCCTTAAAAGTTTCTTAATATTTTTGAACAGCAGTGGAAATTTTACTTCATTGGTAAAGTTATTAAGATAAATTAAGCTTAATTTTGTCAATTTTAAAAACAAAAGTATAGAACATTATAGGCATGTACATCCCCTGGGGTATGAAAGCCTGAAGGAAAATCAAAATGTCCGGTTTGTTTTACTACCTGGAAGTCAGACTGCATTTGTTGCTGCTAGATAGTGTTAGGATTTAGGTTAACTGTTTTAGTCATCTGGCATGTTTTGAAAGATCACATCCTGTTTTTGTAATACAAAAAAGAAAGCTACACTAAGGGTAGGTGTTTTTTTGTTGTTGTTAATTTGGCCAATTGGAGAGTTTAGAGACCTTATTGCAGTGCCCCAGGGCTGTGAGGTTGCAAATAGCTCTGGGAACACATTACTTGAGGAACAAAAGACTCGGTGAAGATCCTGTGCTGCTTCAGCTGGTTCCATTTTTTCACCCACCCCATTTCACAAAATGGTGTTGAGAAGACTTCCTTATAAGTTGTACATAGGGAAACTTGGGTGAAAAACCAGAAGTATTTCCCAAAGCAGAAATGTCAAGGGTTTTTAGAAAATGTCACTTTTTAAAGCCTGATAACTCTGGCCTCTCATTTGGAAGTGGATGTTACTGTGCCTTATATCAAAATTTTGCACTCGGTGCTCAATATATTCATTAATATGTGGCCACTGATTGGGACCTTTGTCTTTTGAAGCGGGAGGGGAGGGCCTGGCTCAAACTTCATAGCCTTAAAATCTCCCCAAATGGGGTCTCTAGATCAGCTCCAAGCATCTTGCCTATGTAACCATTTTCTACCCAGTAGTCCCTAACTACTTCTATTGAAGAGTCCCTTTCCCTTGCAGAGGCGTTTTTACCCCCATCAACTGTTTATATCTGATGCAGACGCTTTACTTTTCAAAGACCCTACCGTGTCTTGAAATTATTGCTTTGTCCGCCTGGCTTTCTGTGGCCTGTAGCTATATTCTCATTTCTTTATGCCTTCTCTGAACTTTAAAAAGAACCTGGTAGTTATCTGAATGTTTTAAAACATTTAAATTTGATGGCATAATATAGATTAGTATAAAAGGATAAAAAGCTGTAAACTTAAAAGCTTAGTAAGATTTCCTAAAACAGACATCTGACCAGGTCAACATTTGGCATGATTTTGTTTGAATAATGAAAATCAAAGCACTTGTTAATTTATTCTGAAATCCTGGAGAGAAAAGACAAAGCGCCTAAACAGTTCACCTAGTTCCTAATTTATGAATTCCTCTGCTTATGATAGGTTTACATCTTTCCTTAGCATGGTTTCTAAAGTAAGAACGGTTGTCAAAGCCAGCACTTTTGGAGAGGGAGGTCATAGTTTCATAACTCAAGTGCCCCACAAGACCCCATATAAGCCACCCTCTACAAATCGGTGCATTTTTCACGAGTTTTCAAACTACTTCCAGATTACCTCCCCTCCCCCAATCAAGGTCAGGCCTTTTTTGCTAATGGAAAAGAAAAATGCAGAAAATCTACATAAATAGCTTAAAAAGTCAGGAGGTGGGCACAAGCCTCCGAGTCACAAGTCTGGGCTAAAGGGCTCAGGGGCTCGACCGGGCGGCCAGAGCAGTGATTAGAAGGTAATGCCTGCGGCCGCGGCGAAGGGCACTGGCCCAGCCAGTCGGCCCCCTCCATCACGGCGAGGATTGGGAAACACGCCCATCTCTGCCCTCCGCCTGACACTGCGTGGCTTATTTCTTCGAGAACTAAATTTCAGAGTCTCCTTAGCTGCTTCGAAGTTTAGCAGAAGGTCCGAGAGATACCGTGGCGGCCAATCCTGGGGATACAGGCCAGACAAATCCAAGAGCAGCGGCCGTTCAACCGCTTCCGAAAGGCCTGAGGGGGGGGTGGGCGGTGGCAACCCACATCTCCTGGGCGCTGATTGGCCATCCTGTGTCCCCGCCCCCTCGGCCCTGCGCGGCTTCGCTCTCCTTTGACCTCGATTTCAAGCCCTGCGCTGGGCAGCGGTTGGTCCGGTTTCCCCTAAACTTGAGTTTGACGTGCCCAATAAGGAGCGAGCTTCGCGAGGGTTGTCGGGAAAGGCGGCCGGCCTATATAAGCAACTTGCTGGGCGTGCCGTTGTGCTGGGGTCGCTGTGCGGATCTCAGAGCGAGTCTGCCAGGGAGCCTGGTCTGCGGGCACTGAAGCGGCACATTGGGGACGATGGCGGAGGGAGATAATCGCAGCACCAACTTGCTGGTGAGTGCCGGCGTCGCGTCTTAAGGGAAACGAGCGGAGCCTCTGTACTTCTGGGGGCTCGACGCGGTGGCGTTAGGGCCTCGTGTTTATAACCTGCGGCGGACCCGGCCCTCCTCTCCCGGTTTCCAGGCGCAGGCGACGACGCTTGTCCCTAGGGCTTCTTGGGTCGCTTCTGCTTGGCGGTCTCTAACCGTGTTGACCCCTAACATCCCTTGGGGAACTGGGGAGGAGGGCGCGTGATCAGTCATTGCCAATACAGGTTCAAGAGGAAGTGGGGAGAAGGGGGGCTGTGACAATTCTGGCGTGTAGCCTAGAGTAGAGGGCCACGAGGGGCCTGTCGAGCGCTTTTGGAGCCTAGGCCCCAGTTGTAGCCAGATTACTCCGCTTTGAATGGTGCCCCTTCGTTCTTTTCCCCCTTTTCAAGCCCTGCGCTGGGCAGGGGTGGAGGGTCAAAGGGCTGTTGCCGAAAATTTCTGTTAGAGCTGGCATAGCTTAAAACGGCAGGGAGGCAGCGAGTTTACCGTAGAGAACTGGGAGTGGGGTCCAGCTGGAAGGACATTGGGAGGGCCAGGCGTTTGTCTGGAATTTGTAAGTCCGCAGGTCACAAGACGACTTTTGAATAAGGAGGGGTCCGAAGGAACTGGAATGAGGTTGGATCACGGCGGACAAATGTAACCTCAGTATGAATTTCACCGCACGCTCTCTTCAGAAATTCGGGCATTTTGGAAAGGCAGGCCACACACAACCACAATGACTAGGGGGAGCAATGAACTTAATTTTTGACTTTTGATTTTCCAATAGCCCAGGTGCTAAGTTTGATTGTGTGCGCATTTGTTTTTAGATTTTTAGAAATGCATGACCACACACACACACACCTTCTCTATAGTTAGCATAGTTAGCCCCAGCCAGGTTCCTTTTTAAGAGGATTGATCAAAACACAGAGTTGCCCGAGTTTACATTGAAATGACAGGTCCTGAACTGGAGCTCAAATAAATACTCTTTCCAGCAGAGCAGTGTAATTTTAAGGAGAACAAATTTTGCCACCTTACCTCATCCTAGAAGTAAGTCTATTTGTCAGATTTTCAGAGAAGTTTGACGTCTAACCAAAATGCCCTGATCAGTGTAAGAAGTGCTGTAGAGGAGATATATATTGAACATAAAATGCCTCATTTTAATTTGGTGAAAGTAGTTTTCCTTAATTGTGCAAATGATGTCAACATCTAAATGATTCCATTATACAAAGAGCTATTTTAGAATTGTATTGAGTGCTGTTCAGGGAGAGGCTCTCCTAATGGACTTAGAAGTAGGGGTTTAAATCAATGAAATGACAAAACAACAGATCAATTCTAACCATCTGAAATGAGAGAATATAAAGTGATCTAATTTGGGTACTGTGCTTGGTAGTGCATGGCTTGGGGGAAAGTTAGTAAACCATTTTTTTCATTGTAAAATGGGTCTTAATTATCCTTACCTTATGTAAAGAGTAGACCAGGTCCTAGACTTGGAACTAACTTGTTTAAAATAGTGAGTTGGTTAACAGCTATTTTTTATACTTGGTGCCTTAGAAGCATCTAACTCTCTAGGAACGGCAGAAATGTTGAGAGTAGTAAAATGATGGCTTTAAATATTGATCATATATAGGCTGCAGAGACTGCAAGTCTGGAAGAGCAGCTGCAAGGATGGGGAGAGGTGATGCTGATGGCTGATAAAGTCCTTCGATGGGAAAGAGCCTGGTTTCCACCTGCCATCATGGGTGTGGTTTCTTTGGTGTTTCTGTAAGTGAGCTATTCAATTACTTAAGATTGTGCTTGTTATTAATAAGGACTCAGGTAATACACACCTCCATTTATGGAAGTGTCTTAAGTCTTTTGTAATGTATAATCTGTAAAGAATGTCTTTTCTTAGAGCAGTTTGCCCCGTTTTCAGAATTTGTAGTACTTATGTGAACTCGGTAACACAGTACAGTTAAATAAATCAGTGGCTCTCAAACTGTTTGGCATTAGAACCCTTTACACTCCTAAAAAGTATTGAAGATCTCAAAGAGTTTTTTCCTCTTGGTATTTACATTACAGCTATGATGTTGTCATGTCATCAAGTTTCCAGAAAACCACTTGTGAGAAAATTAGAATGAAAGGGCAAACATCTATGCGAACTCAAGGACTAAGTGAATAAACATCTTCACTTAGGAAAAATGATTATGTTTTTCTAACCTTTATTATTATTATTTTTTTAAAAACAGGAATATCTACTATCTAGATCCATCTGTTCTCTCTGGTGTTTCCTGTTTTGTTATGTTTTTGTGCTTGGCTGACTACCTTGTTCCCATTCTGGCACCTAGAATTTTTGGCTCCAATAAATGGTAGGTGGCATGATGATTTGGCATTCTAATTTCTGAGAAGTTATCCTGTTGGCTGTGATTGGTATTCTGTAATTAATCATAGAGAAATGTCTAACCATCAGATACATAGGGGTTAGATTTATTGCTTTTAAATGAAGAGTTTTTTTTTTTAACTCACTTGTATATAAATCATGAATCTCCAATACTTATAGATCTCCATAGGTCTTTTGTGGTCTGGCATTTATTTTGACATTCTTTTTTTTTCCTTTTTAGGCCTTTTTATTGAAGTGAGGTTTGTTTGTTTGTTTTTTAGGTAATGTTTTATCAGGACTGTAGAACTCATATGAGCTTCTCCATAAAAGTAGTACGTTTACACTTTATATTTATTTCCATTAATATTTAAGATAGCATATTAATTTCTCAAGTTATTTTTGAATGAATACAAAAACAGTAACTGGTATATTTTTTTCCCATTCATTTAGCAACTATTTATGGAATGTCTACGTTTGTGTTAAGCACTGTTCTGGGTGCTCTGAAATACTTTGATTTTTCTTTAAAAAAAATTGTTTTTTCTTTATTGATTTTAGAGAGAGGAGGGGAGAGAGAGAGGTAGAAACATTGATGAGAGAGAACATCGATTGGCTACCTCCTACATGCTCCCCACAGGGATTTGGCCCACAACGCAGGCATGTGCCCTGACCAGGAATCCAGCCAGCAACCTCTTGGTGCATGGGTCCACACTCATCCACTAAGCCACACCGGCCAGGCAATATTTTGATTTTTCAGATTGGTTATGTTTAAGGTTGAGACATTGAGGCAGTGCAGTAGTAGTTAGCTAAATGCATAGCAAGTGCTTCAGAGTAGGTTCAAGTTGTATATACAAGTTGGTGGTTAATTTCATTTATACCATACCTTGAATAAGGTACTTATTTTTTTTCTTTTTTATCGTCACCCGAGGACATTTTTTCATTTTTTATTCAGATAGAGTGGGGAGGGAGAGAGAGAGAAAGAAACATTGATGTGAAAGGGACACATCGAGTGGTTGCCACCCACACCACCCAACCAGGGCCGGGGACAGACTGCAACCAAGGTACATGCCCTGGGTCTCTGAACCCGGGTCTCTATGGACTGCAGGCCGACGCTCTAACCGCTGAGCCAAACCGGCCAGGGCAATTAGGTACTTATTGAGTACCCAAGATATAGTTAAGTGGCTATGGGTCATATTAAAGTACAGTGATACCTCGGTTCTCGAATGCCTCGGTTTTCGACCAAATGGAGATTCGAGAAACTTTTGTCTCGGAATCCGAACAAATATTTGGAACTCGAACTTCCGAGATGAGCCGAATGGTGTTCATTCGGCCCAGCGCGCCTTGCTTGCGTCATCAGTGTGAGTGCAGAGAGAGAGTCACGCTTTGTGGAGTCACGCTTTCCTATTGGTTTCATTGCTTCGGTTCTCGAACAATTCGGTTCTCGACCGTCCTCCTGGAACGAATTATGTTCGAGAACCGAGGTATCACTGTATTTCAACTCCTCTCTATGATGTTGCATTTTTCACTTTTGACCCAAAGAATGAGCAAAACTAGACAATGGAATAGATTTTTTTCCTCCTAACTGCTATTCTTCTTCAGTTGTTCATTTAATTTTTTTTTTTTTTTATCCTCACCCGAGGACATTTTTCGATATTTTGTTCAGATAGAGTAGGAGGGAGGGAGAGAGAGAGAAACATCGACGTGAAAGGGACACATCGAGTGGTTGCCACCCACACGACCCAATCAGGGCCGGGGACAAACTGCAACCGAGGTACCTGCCCTTAGCGGGAATCGAACCCGGGTCTCTCCAGACCGCAGGCCGACACTAACCGCTGAGCCAAACCGGCTAGGACTTCAGTTGTTCATTTTAATTTGATTAGTAGTCTACTTATGCCTTCAGCTCTTTGTTCCCCTGGTAACAGCAAATTATAAAATAATTCTCGAAGAAGTTTAAATGTAAGCCTGTGGATCTTTGAGAAAAATTCATACATTTTGGGAGGAGTTTGCTTAAGTTATGGGATAATTAATTATGTTTGTTTAAAGATGTTTCCCCTGTAGCGGAATGGGTGAGTATTAGGAAATGTCCTTTGAACTCAATAGTTTCTTTGGGTTTTTTTTTTTTTTTGAGAGAGAAAGAAATATGAACGTGAGAGATAAACATCGATCGGCTGCCTCCTGCACATCCCCTACTGGGGATGGAGCCCACAACCTGGGTATGTGCTCTGACCGGGAATCAAACCGGGACCTCTTAGTCCATGGGACGATGATCAATCCACTGAGCCACACCTGCCAGGCTGAATTACTGTTTTTCACGTGTAGTAATGAAGTATGCTGCTCTTTTTTTTTTTGAGCGAGTTTGTAACCATGCAGTCCAACAATTTAATGAAGGGAGTCAGCTTCTGACCTTGACTTTATTAGTCAGATGGCATTTTAATCTGCTAATTCGTAATTCCTTGAGAAAAGTTTTCAGAAATAAACACTGAGTTTCATGGTAATCGGTATGTGGCTCCATCTTATCAACAGAGCAGTGTTGTTTGATCTTTATGCAGAAGGAAGAACACTGTTGCATAACCATAATCCAGCCTTGACCATGGGCAACATATAAGGTCAAATTGTTTACAAGGAGTTCCAAGGCTCAGCAGAAACCCTCTCTCACTGCATTTTCACAGGGAGGAGAAGTAGAGAAGAGAAGACAATACATCCCCCAGCGTAGGGCCTGTTTTATAATAGCAGTAATTATATCTATATAGTAAAGACAGTACAATGGCAGTTTTCAGTTATAAATAAAAAGGGGCATTCTTGGAGGATCTTTTTGTATTTCTACTTCTATTTTGTTTATGATTATATTATCCCCCAGTGGGACTAAATTTAGATTTGAGTTGTGTATCGTTGCCTTGGCATCAACTGTATGAAGCCCAGGTGAGGGTATTATGCTGTGAATGCTGGTAGTATTGTTTTAACTGAAAAGTGCTCAAATACAACTGTGGTAGATTCTCATCTTCCTCAAAATAGTGTGACTCGGATGGGCCCAGGATTCACTATGATCTGAAAAATAATATAGGAGTAGAGAAATTAATTTATACTGATTTCTACACTGCCCATAGTAGTATGAGTCTTTTTAAATATGAGAGAATGGTGTGTTTCTGTTTACTGAAGAGATTTGCTTCTAGTGAAGGGGGAAATTCTTTTTCTAGGACCACTGAGCAGCAGCAGAGATTCCATGAAATTTGCAGCAATCTAGTAAAAACTCGACGCAGAGCTGTGGGCTGGTGGAAACGCCTCTTCACACTTAAGGAAGAAAAGCCAAAAATGGTACTTTTTTTGTTTTGACTTATTTAAGTAAAGCAAAATTTTAAGATTGAGTCCGTTTTTATTTTATTGTAGAATATTGATAGCCTTTTTATTTGAATAGTTATAGTTTGATAGTTATCCATTACTTTAATTCCTCTTGAGTACATTCATAAATGTGTATCTGTATTAGACTGAATCACCAGAAGTTAAAATTGTTTTACATTTAATTTATATTCTAGTAGAGTGAAATGTTCCTCTTCTTTTCTTACTGAAATAAGGTAAAAGATACATACTTAGAAAACATATTTCTATTTTTAAAATTTATTTATTGACTTAAGAAAGAAAAAGAAACACTGTTTTGTTGCTCCAATTATTTATTTATTCATTGGTTGATTCTTATATGTACCCTAACCAGGGATCCAACCTGCAACCTTGGAATATTGGATAATACTCTAACTGACTGAGCTACCTGGCCAGGGCTAGTATTTGTTTTCTTAATCCAGCTTCACATGAGGTTACTATCTGAAGTTATTAATTGTGAAGGTTGTATAATTTATATGATAAACTATTTAACTTAAATATAGAATTATAGTAGTTCTAGGAGGGAATGTATCCAAATTCTATAAAGCAGGTCTAATGGAATTTTCTGAGTTTTATATAATATATAGATACTAAGTATTTTTAAAGAAAAGTGGTAAGCCCTGGCCAGTTTGGCTCAGCGGTTAGAGCGTTGGCCTGCAGTCCTGAGAGTCCCGGGTTCGGTTCCCGCTAAGGGCACGTACCTCGGTTGCAGTTTGTCCCCAGCCCTGGTTGGAGTTGTACGGGTGGCAACTACTCGATGTGTCTCTCTCACATCAGTGTTTCTTTCTCTCTCTTACCCCCTCTCTCACCCCCTCTCTCCCTCCCACTCCATCTGAAGATAAATGAAAAAATGTCCTCAGGTGAGGATGATAAAAAAAAAAAAGTGGTAATAAAAACTGAATCATTTTCCATCCTTTGAAACAACCTCCTAAAGTTATGCCTCTTAGTCTGTTTCTAGGAGTTGTTAACATTCTTATTATTTTCATTATTAGTACTTCATGACCATGATCATTTCTCTTGCTGCGGTTGCTTGGGTGGGACAGCAGGTCCACAACCTTCTTCTCACCTACCTGATAGGTAAGTCTTTGAGGACACAGGCATATCCTGGGCAGTGAAGTCTAACCGGAACTTAGTTAAATATGTGCACATTTAGCAAGTTTAAGGCACTGATCAAGGAATTGTGGGAGTGAATAAGGTAACTAAAACCCAGGTCCTTGTTTGTAGGGTGTTTGTGGTCTTGCAGGAAGTTAAGACAAAGAACATAAATAACCAGGGTAGAAAGAAACGTGCAGGAGGTAAAAATAAGCAGTGTGTGTCATCTGAGGTTGGGAGGTATGATAGCCAAAGTTTCTATATCAACAGAAGTAATGGATTTCACATTGCTTCCTCTCATTAGAATGCCTAATAGCCCGGGAAACTACCTTCTTTAGAATGCAATAACATTTAGGAAATGAATTGCTGCCTCCTTAATTTTGTTTTTTTATTTTTAAGTGACTTTCTTACTGTTGCTTCCTGGACTTAACCAACATGGAATCATTTCGAAGTACATTGGAATGGCCAAAAGGGAGATGAACAAGCTTCTTAAGCACAAAGAAAAGAAAAATGAATAGTGCATCTTCTTTATTCAGTGTGATTAATGGAGTATACATCGTCCTTGGGAACAGTTTCTATTATATTGTCTAGATACTAAAGTGTTACACAAGTAGCTCTTTGCTCTTACTCCTGCCCTTAGTTACTAGAAATTCAGACTTGCCACATAAGGCTTTATACATAGTGTGTCTTTCTCATCAGTTGGCCTTATATGGACAACTCATTCATGAATATAATTTGTCTTGATTTTTCTCACCCAGGGTTAATTGAATTCTTATTTGTAGGCAACTTCCTTTAAAGTAATATAGTGGTGAACTTCACCCTTTAGTACTGTTAACAGTGACTTTGGATAATTGTTCAAGTTGATCTTTTCTTTAGCTAGATATAAGGCGTAGTGGTCTGTGGCTACAGGAAGCTGGTTCTACCATCTACTTCCACAGTCTGCCTAAAAAACTGGCTTCAAGAATATAGAGACCAAGTTTACCACTTCCGATGAAGAGACCAATTAAGATTAATTTCTTGTTCTGTTTCTATACCACGGAGAAATATCCTCATGGAATAAAATGAAACTAATTACATGCCCTTGTGCAAAACTTGGCAATTTGTAGAAAACATTGATCCTCTGAAATGGGGAACCTAACAGTCTTAGAGCTCTTGTGCCCTTGCACTTAGCCTTCAAGTGAGTAAGTCCTAAAGGCTTTTTACTAGCAGGCTTCCAAAAGCTTGGATTTAGGATTTTTAGCATTCTTTTAATTTCAGATTTTCAGCTGTCTAAAACTAAAGTACATAAGAGATGAAGACTCGTGCCTATGACTTTTATTCCAAAACCAGCTAATAAAGGACAAAAGTCTTTCTGTGTTTCGTCAAGATTCAGTAGAAAATAATCTTATCCTACTCATTTTTCATTTCTCAATTTACGGTAATGTTGGCTGCTTTGGTCCCCATAGATTTGGTCTAGGAGGTGGTGACTGCACTGCATCTGACTTTTTTCCTAGATATTTCTCTAAAAAATACAAGGGCTGTTGGTGAGAGCAAACTTGTAGATGATAGATGGCCTTAGGCCTGTAGAGATGTTGCAACTCTTGGAAAGCATCTTAGAGTCTTTCTCCCCCTCAGTAGCTAGACACTTAGAGTAGTTCAGATCTGTGGAATGAACCTCTAAGGGCTGAAAATGTGACATATTTGGGAACAATTCTGAAGCTGATTAGCTAGCTGTAATATAGTTCTGTGAATTTATTGCACTGATGCTGTAAAACCTGGACCTTGTGGTATATCTGTCCCTAATAAGTGTTGTTTTCTCCCTTTCAATATTGCTGTAAACAACGGCACCCATGTAGCATATGTTTGAGTTTTTTAATGTTTCATATGAAAACTACAAGCTACCTTAATTTACGTGTGTTTCTTTGTTGTAAATAAGCCTGTCTTATCTGGGTTTTTTTTTTTTTTTTTTTATACATGTTCTACCAGTTGAATTACTTTTGTGGTTTTAATCCTGTATTATTTCTTCTACTTTGTTTTGTGAAAAGGTGGAAAATAAAAGCTGGTATCTCTTTTTGTGTCCTGCTTTCTTTCTACCTTAGCCAGTACAGTATTTACATGCATGGATTCATGGATCTGATTAAAAAACTACCCCGTGTGATCAATACATGCCTGTAAGGTACTCTTTAAGAACAAAGGAAAAAGTTTAAATTTATTCATTCGGCAAACATCCAGGCACCATGCTACAGGCAAAAGAAAATACAATGAGTAAGTGATAACCAAAGGTGACGGGTGAGAGGACCAACCTGGGAGAACAGGCAGAGAACAATGCAGGCTAAGGGGAGAGTGCCTGCCGTGGGCACTTCTGTACCCCAGGGCACACGAGGTGCTCAGTAACTAACTGGTGGGTAACTGTTGTACTTCAAACATTTTTGTACATCAGAGCTCAAATTGGATGTTTTGTCATTGGGCCTCACTGTATACTTGGTGTATCCTAGGAATAGATTCAGTCAAATTACATTCTGAGACCTCCCCATACTCTCCACAAAAAAAGGATGGATCCTGCCTAGCCGGTGTGGCTCAGTGATTTAGCATTGACCCATGCACCAAGAGGTTGCCAGTTATCGGTCAGGGCACATGCCCAGGTTGTGGGCCAAATCCCGAGTGGGCATGCAGGAGGCAGCCAGTCGATGCTCTCTCTCATCGATGTTTCTATCTCCTCACTCTAAAATCAATAAGCAACAACAAAAAAAGGATGGATCCTTCTTTGGAGCCTCCTGGGGATTTGGTAATGTCCAGAAAAGGGAAGTCTCAACCCAGAGTCACCACAGGTGGTCGCCTGGTATTTTGAAATGATGGATTTCTACCATGCAGTTGTGATTGTGTCTCAGGCCAGGCACACTGGCTGGCTTCCCACACCAGCCTCACTACCCTGCAGAAGTCCCACTTTGACACTTGTTTGGCGTCACCTCCAGTGGCGGTCCTATCCTAGAGTTCACAAAATGTTGAGAGGAGGCCATTAGGAGTTAGTTGTGTCAAAAAGAGTAAAGATTTGGGTGTTTTTAGAGGAGTTCATCTTCCACATGGTTGCCATTTATCTATCCTTACCCGAGGATATGTCTTGGTATTAGAGAGGGAGAGAGAAACAATCAGTTGCCTCCTGGTTGGGGATCAAACCTGCAACCTAGGTAAGTGCCCTGACTGGGAACGAACCCAGTACCTTTTGGTTGGGTTGATGCGCCAACCAACTGAGCCACACGGCCAAGGCCAGTTGCCATTTAACAATCAGATCATGATCAATCCTATTTAAAGTCCTCTCAGCTGGTTCCAGTTTGCCTAGAGCATAAATCACAAAAAGTATGACAGTTGATATACTTCTCTACCCTATTTCCCAATTCTAACCCAGCCATTCTGAGATTTCTGTTCATCTTTACTCCATGCCCTCCTAGTTCTGGAGCTGCTGTAAGCCTAGAATATCTGCTGTCCTTACACCCTAACATCTTGGGATCAGGGCAGACCTATATCCAAACCTCACCAAGTTATGTGTCTAGTAACTTAGATAAAGTAACCACTTTTTTTTTTGCTTTGACTTTTAAACTAGTCCGCCCAGTATGGCTCAGTGGATTGAGCATAGCCCCATCGAATGAGAGGTCCCTGTTCCATTCCCGATCCCTAGGCAGGGCACGTGTCCGGCTTGCAGACTCGATCCCCAGTAGGGGGCGTGCAGGAGGCAGCCAATCAATGTTTCTCACATGGATGTTTCTGCCTTTTCCTTCTCTCTAAAAAAAAATTGTTTAAAAAAAACTTTAAGATTGAATTTTGTGGATGGGAAGAAATAAACCAAAGAACTTTTATGCATAGATGCACAACCAATTGATCCAGACATTAGGCTGGGGAAGGCAGGAAGGAGGCGGTCAGTGGGGAAAAAGGGGACATCTCTAACACTTTCAACAATAAAATAAATAAGATTGTACTTCATCCTCTCATTTGTGAAATGGGGGTAATAGTGTAGAACTCACAGGGGCAGTATATAAGTGGCGAATTGGTAGTTGTCTGGCCGGTGTGGTTCAGTCATTGAGCATTGACCTATGCACCAAGAGGTCGCCAGTTCAATTCCTGGTCAGGGCACATGCCCAGGTTGTGGACCCAATCCCTAGTGGGAGGTGTGCAGGAGGTCGCCAATCGATGTTCTCTCTCATCAATGTTTCTATCTCTCCTCTCCCTCCCTCTCTCTCTAAAAATAAATAAAGGGGGAGGGGGAAAGAGATGTATTTAAAAAAGAACTGGTAGTTGTTAGCAGCCTTCACAACACAGATCAAATTGCACTTCCTCTGTGAAAGCCTTAGCAACATCCCAGGCCACCTCTGCATTTTCACAGCACTTCATATTGGTATCCTATATGGCACATTTCCTGGTATTGTGTTGTTGAGAGTTTTGTCGACTTAAGGGCAGGAACATATTTTTGTCCTCTCATTATCTGGCACATGATATTTTGATGTCTGTTCAATGAATGCATGAATGAATGAAGTATACAGTATAAAGAGATAGTGGATGGTGCTATTTTTCCATTTATGGTAATGCTTCTGAAGTAAAGTGGGTTTATTCACTTAACTCCCCACTGTTAATAAGGCCCTCAAGGTGAACTTCACATTTTTAATAAATAAAACGTAAGTAGGGGAACCAGTTCTTCAAGGAAATTTTCATTTAAAAAGCAAATGGGCCCTGGCCAGTTTGGCTCAGCAGAGAGGGTTGGCCTGTAGACCGAAGGGTCACGGTTTGGATTCTGGTTAAGGTCATGTACCAGGATTGCAGGTTCAATCCCCAGCCCTGGTCGGGGTCGTGTGAGAGGCAACCAATCGATGTGTGTGTCTCACATCGATGTTTCTCTCTTCCTCCCTCTCTCCCTCCAGTTCTATCTGAAGATTAATGTAAAAAATATCCTCGGGCCCTGGCCGGTTTGGCTCAGCGGTTAGAGCGTCGGCCTGCGGTCCTGAGAGACCCGGGTTCGGTTCCCGCTAAGGGTGCGTACCTCGGTTGCAGTTTGTCCCCGGCCCTGGTCGGTTGTGAGGGTGGCAGCCACTCGATGTGTTCCTTTCACATCGATGTTTCTCTCTCTCTCTCTGTTCCTCTCTCTCTCTCCCACTCTACCTGAACAAAAAATGGAAAAATGTCCTCAGGTGAGGATAAAAAAAAAATATATATCCTCGGGTAAGGATTAAAATAATAATAATTTAAAAAGAAGCAAATGGCCCCTCTGTAATATATATTTAACTAGATAATTCTATATTCCTGAGATATCCAAATTGGGAGCTTTGCTTTCCTGGGGTTTACTTAGAATTTGAGAAGTGGGGGTGTGGTAGGCAGAGGCTTTATACTAACGGATATTAATGTTGATGAACACTTACTCTGCCAGATTTTGTATTAATCTCTGTTATGGATTATTTCATTTATCCTCACAGCAACTTCAAGTGATTGGTAGTATCCCCATTTTATAGATGGGGAAACTAATTTGCCCTTTCATTTATTCATCACACATATATCCAGGGCCTATGCTGTGCCAGATAGCTTCTCTGGGAGCTGTGAGTACAGTGATGAACAGAACTAAGTCCCTGCTTGCTTGGAACTTAATGGGGACAGAAAATAAATACACTTTCAATGTTCCAGGTGGTAAGTGCTATAGAGAAAAATTAAGCAGGACCATACATAGGGTTGGGGGGACAACTAGGAGGCTGTATGTGTGTGTGACCTGGCTAGCTGGGGAGAAATGTTCAAATTAGAGGGAAATGCAAAGGCCCTGAGGGGGTGTATGCTTGGAGTGTCTGAGGAAAAGTAAGCCAGAGGACAGTAATGGGGAATGAGGTCCATATGTGGTGCAAGGAGGCATGTGTGCACTTTGGGAAGGGTGCTGTAAACTTGGCAAGGAATTTGTATTTGATGGGAGCCCTTGGAAAATGCATGATCTGACTGATTTCAGTTTTGAAAATGTCATTCTGGCTGCCATAAAACAAGGACTGTAGGAGGTTGGGTAAGGGTGGAAACAGTGAAGTAAGGAGCTCTTGGGAGGTGAGGCGAAATGCACTCCCTTTTTTTTTTTTTTTGGCATTTATCTTTAGAGTGGGAGGGAGAAAGGGAAGAGAGAGAAACATCTATATGTGAGAGAGACATCCAGTGGTTGCATGACCCCAACCCGGCCGGGAACAAACTGCAACCAAGATACTTGCCCTTAGTGGGAACCGAACCCGGGACTCTTGGTCCGCAGGCGGAGGCTTTAACCGCTGAACCAAACTGGCTAAGGCAAGGCTGGCATTATTTTCCTTGGTTTCCATCTGGAAAAAACTCACAGGGACTAAGAGACATACAAATTAGTTCCAGTCCGGGTGCAGAAGGGCATATAAAAGCTACTGGCTCCGAAACCTGAGTGTTTATTTAGAAACATTGTGGCTTTCTTCCAAATTGTGTTTCCCAGAACTCGAAAGAAACGTCTAGAGCCCTAGTAAATAATTTCTAAGATTTAGGAACAGTCAACAAAGAACCACCATTAAAAAAATTTTTTTTGATTGCTTTAAAAATGTACACGCACGTTTTTTTTGTTTTTTCTTTATTGATGTTTAGAGAGAGAGGAAGGGAGAGGGAGAGGGAGATGGAAACATCGATTGGCCGCCTCCTGCTCGCCCCCGACTGGGGATGGGCCCACAATCCGGGCATGTGCCCTGACCGGGAATCCAACCAGCGACCTCTGAGTGCATGGGTCCACGCTCAACCACTGAGCCACACCGGCCGGGCAAAAATTTACACGCACGTTTTAAACAAAACAAACTTGAATAGGGAGAAAAGTAAGTCTTCCATCCCAGTTCCTAAAGCTTCCCCAGAGGCAATTACCGATTTCTGTGGGTCCTTCCGGAAACACTATAAATACGCAATATTAAAATTTATTTCAGATGCTGAACAGTTATTGCAATAAAAACTAGCAA